CCCCCCCCCCCCCCCCCCCCCCCCCCCACATCTGGAAGCAGCCACTAATTCCAGTGGGTGCCCCCTAGTTCTAGCATTCTGGGACTTAGTGAGCAACAGTTCCCTGTTCCTTGGTCCGCACCCTTCATGATCTTATAGACCTCTATCAAATTCCCCCATTCCTCAGCCGCCGCCTTTCCGGGTGGGAAAGTATTAGCCTTTTTTTTTTTTGGTTTCTCCTGATACGGCAACTACTCCAGGCCCCTGATCATTTTGGTTGCCTTTTTTTAAAGTTCTGCTACATCCTTTCTGAGCTGCAGGGACCACAACTGCACCCAGCATTGAAGAGGTGGCCTTGGGCAAGTAACTCAACTGCTTGTTGCTTCAAGTCTTGTAGCTTGTGAAACGGTGACTGAAATACATGCCTGTCTCAGAAGAAGGCTAGGAGCTGCAAGGATTTCTATGGGCCATCACGTCTTTTTTTTTTTTATTTTTTTTTTTTTTTAAGTGTACCGACTGCAGAGCTGGGCATGAGAGACAGCAATGATTATGGTTCAGGGGCTGGGCACAGGGTTTATGTGGAGAGGCTGAGGGAACTGGGTTTATTTAGTTTGGAGAAGACGGGTGGTGGGGTAGCAGCTTTCGAATACCTGAAGGGTGGTTCCAAAGAGGATGGAGCTAGACCAGGGGCGGGCAATTATTTTGGGCAGAGGGTCGCTTACTGAGTTTTGGCAAGCCATTGAGGGCCGCATGACAGGCAGCCCAGGGCAGATTAATATTAATTTTCTAAATTTTTTAGGGCCCCCGCAGACCGGATAGAATGGCCTGGCGGGCTGCATCTGACCCCCCCGAGCTGCATTTTGCCCACCCCTGTGCTAGACTGTTCTCGGTGATGGCAGATGACAGGACAAGGAGCAATGGTCTCAAGTTGCAGCAAGGGAAGTTTAGGTTGGATATTAGGAAAAACTTTCTCATTATGCGGGTGGTAAAGCACTGGAAAAAGTTAGAGAGAGAGGTGGGGAGCTCTCCATCCTTAGAGGCTTTTAAGGTCCAGCTTGACAAAGCCCTGGCTGGGATGGGCCTGCTTTGAGCAGGGGGTTGCACTAGATGACCTCCTGAGGTCCCTTCCAACACTAATTGTCTATAATTCTGTAAGCTTCTGGGTGCAGGACGCTCTTCTTATGGTTGGGGAAGCTGGGAGAGGGGTTCCATGCTATGCTGCTGTTGCAAGGCCAAAGGGAGCCAGGGAAGGAGGGAGAAAGCAAGAGGTGCCTTAAGTGGTAGAAAGCTGGTCTGAGACTCCAAGGAATGCTGTATTTGCTGACAAACTATTGTACACTGAAAAAATACAAGTTTGCCTCACTTTATGCGGGTTGTGTACGTGCAAATTCACTCTTATGCGATGGCCCTTTTTAAACGAAAAATTTGTTATATGCAAGGTAAATGCAGTCTTATGCAGTCGGTGTGGTGGAAGCCCACAGTCAGCTCCTTTGTGCGGTGCATGGTGGGAGTGACGCGCACCAGAAATAGTCTGTGTGCATCTGTGCTCCTTGCTCATCGTCTGCAACGTGTTTCTGTAGTTGCCATCTCCATTATGCATTCACCACCACCCTGACCTTGCATGCACTGTCAGCTGTTGGCAAGTACCAAAACTGTCTTGTAGAAGTGGTAGAAATGGGTCGGGGGTCAGTACAGTCGAGGCCTTGGAACGTACCCCTATTTGTTACATTGTAAAGTGGGTGCCCTTTATGTAAATTTGAGTTGTGTGCTGTTTTCCAGGACCACACGTGTAGCATAAAGTGAGGGAAACCTGCACATTGGTGATGCATGTGCACCCCCTGAGATTGGTAGTGCCCCCCCTGAAGTGCTGCTGCTAGTGCTGGTGGTGCCCGTGCTTGGTCACCGCCTGCCACCGCCACTGCTGCGGGAGCTCCCCGCATGCCACGGGGAGCTGTCATTCACGTGTGTGCAAAGAAGCCTGCAAAGAAGAAGCCATCTTCTTCTGTATTTTATGTTGCTCACTGTAACCTGGGTCCTCAGACTTGGAGCACGACTTGATGTGGAGGCAAACACTCTCAAGGCAGTGCTGAGGGCAAAGCCAGAAGTCAAGTCAAGAAGACGTACAAAAAAACGGAGTTCTCGGTTCCAAAAGGATACCTTCTTATTAGACCAGCGGGGAAACGGCAAGAAAACGGTCCTTCTGCAGAAAAGAACCATTTTCTTTTGCTTTCCCGCTGGTCTAATACAAGGTCTCCCTTTGGACTCGAGGGGGCTCGTGTTTTGCATGTCTCGTCTCAGACCCAGTACCCCCCCACCCGTGGGTCCGGACGCCCCGGCAGCGGCTCGGCTCTGGTTGCAGTTCGCTGTCTCGAGCACGACGGTGCCGCTCGTAGCCCGGGCGTGTACGGCCGGGAGCGCTGGAGACGGTGGCCGGGACAGGCTCCCGATCAGGCGGCGGAGCTGAGGGGAGCCGGGGGAGGAGGGAGGGAGCCCCCGAGCCGGCGGCAGGCTACAAAAGGGGGAGGCGGCGCGGCCGGG